AAAAACAGCTAGGACCAAAACTGCTAAATGGCCAACATTCTGCAGGTATTTCTTGGGTACCTACTTTGTGACAGTTACTTTTCATGAGTCATTTTTATTCCATAATACTATAGATTTCCCATATTATATAAATTTCTCTTCATTTTTATATCATATAATAGTCTTTCAAGAAACATGAAAATCAGAAAATTAAGTTTACTATGGAAAATTTTAGGATACTGAATTGTCAGTAAAAAAAAATTCTGTTTACTGAGGTTGACATTCTTTTCATTTTCAGAAGTCACACAGTATTTTTTGTGGGAACATGAATAAAAATGTGCTAGACAATCCAAATGAATGTACCTGATTAATAACTTTTAACAGTATAAATTATATCAACATAAAATCTGAAGGACGCTACTCTGTTCCTATTTCAAATAAGTATTTCTAAATCTTCAGAAGATATTAAGCACAAAAAAACTTACTAAATCACTTGTTACAAATAACACTGGTTTACTTTTAAATGACAAATGCTATATGTTTTCCTTCTAATCTCCAAAGAAATATGTCCTATTCTATCCAGGGTATGCAAACCTGCTGCAGAAGGGTAGCCACATCCCTCCTTTGTTCCACTGCAGCAGTCAGGAGGTTCTAAGCCCTCACTCCCTCTTAAGATCCTTTTCAACCAAGTATTCCATAGGGTTAGACTTGGTGTTTGAGTAGAAACCAAACCCATGTGCGTCTCAGATAATTTTATTTACAGAAGCCAAATAGAATCCATAGAAATAATAAAAGTTTTTATCTAAATAAACATAAAAATAAAATCCAATTAAATAGATATTTCCACAGTAAATCCAAATACACCACAAAATTTACAGAAATAATTATCAAGTAAAAACAACTGTTGGATGAGGGAAATATGGTATATCTACACAATGGAATACTACTCTACTATAAAAAAGAATGAAATACTACCATTTGCAGTAACATGGACGGACTCAGAGAAAATTATATTAAGCGAAATAAGTTAAGCACAGAAAGAGAAATACCACATGTTCTCACTTATTTCTGGGAGCTAAAAATAAATAAATGAATGAATGAATGAATAAATAAACAAACAAACAAATGGTGGGCAGCGGGGGAGAAGACACAACAATCACAACAATTCCTTGAACTTGTTAAGACAAGTGAACAGATATGATGTTGATGGTGGGGGAGGGAGAAAGAGGAATTGGTAAAGGGACATGAAAATCAACTACACTGTATATTGATAAATTAAAAGGAAAAAAAAACCCCAAGTGTTAAATAAGACACCACTCTCTAAATGTAATTATTACGGTCCAATAGCCAAAAATCTGCTCATGGTAAATTGTTTATAACTTAACCTTTTGTGTCTTTGGAGTATATCAAGGCATTTAACAGTAAGAAATACATGCAGTTCAACCCTATCCATTTAATTCTTATGCATTTTGAAAGAAAATAACTCAGTTGTTTTTTTCAGTAAAGAAAGGCCTGAGGTCTCTAACTAAAACTAAAGTTCTACAGATGAAAGGTTTCTTCCAGTAAAAGAAACCACAGTAATATTTTATGATGCACAGGATAACTTAACAGAACTTCAGCAACAAAGAAATCTTGTAAGCATTTAAACAAGATATACTGTATTTTTACCGAAATCTAACAAAGGAAAACAAAACAAACTAAGGAAACCAAAGTTCAAAGTTAGAGTGAAACAACTTCTAAAAAGAACACTCAGCCAAAATAAAAGTTCGAAACAAATAACATATACAAGGTTCAAATTCTCACCTAAAGCAATAAGAGCTCTATAACATCAAATTTCCTAGGAAATTTTAGGATCTTTGACATACACAGTGACTTATTTAAGTATTTAGGAGAAAAATACACAGCATATATATATATATATATATATATATATATATATATATATATATATGT